ACACTGATGAAAGTTACCATCACATGAATATGTAAATATGTTTTTCAAAATGTACAAAACATAAATAACAGGAGTGAAAACTGGGAAATCATCTGCTCATAATGATATATGCTTTGCTATTCATGTTAACAATTTTTGTAAATGACACAATATTTAACTGTAATATGATCTGCATTTCACTGTAGCACAGCTATGCAGTATGTTACTGTATTTTAACGTTGCATTGTAAAAATTACTGTATATTTTACATTAAAGATATACATACCATACTGTAAATACAATATACGGCAAGATATATTGTGCTGCAAATGTAAGTACAGTATTTTTGCTAGAACTGATTTACAGTAATTTACTGTAGATTCTACAAGAAATTGTTAACAGTGTATGACATCAACATATGAAATAATCACAATGAAACGTATTGTTCGATCATCAAGTATATGTTTGGCTTCAGTTTAAATTTAATAACATACTGACTTCACAGAATGGGTTTCATAAACAACCTTGAAAGTAGGGGAATGTCTTGTTTCTTAAGTGTAAGTTTCTTGTTCGTAAGTGCAAAACGCGCCTAAGCCCGAAACTGAAAGCAAGAGGTGACTTTTAAGGGATCGTTTAATATGGATTATTTAATCATTCTTACTGTTCAGTGAACGCAAACAGTCGTAGTTTATTAAAGAAGCAAACCCCTCACTGCACGACAGCTGCACCTTTAGCAAACCTCCTAATTCCTGCCGCACGAGGACTTTATGATTGTTTATGAGTGTCAAAAGTGGCTGATCTGTTCGACTAAATATTTGACTGCGTGTCACTACATATCAAACGACTTAAACGATAAAACTAAAGAAGTGTCCACTGTGCTGAGCAAGAGCTCTTACTAAACAGCGCAGCATCGATGACGTAAGCGTGCCCAGGCCCGATTGTAATGTGAGTGCGGGCCGTCGGGGGAGATGAGAGGGGGGACAAGTGTGCTTTGGCCTGGTTTAAGGCAACTGCACATAGTGTGAGTATAGTTGCCTTAAACCGGGCCAAAGCACGCTTGTCCCCCCTCTCATCTCCCCCGATGGCCCGCACTCACAATTCTCAAATGATCCGGGAAAGGGGCCTGGGCACGGTTCAGATAGCATCGTTTGAGTAGGCCCATAGTCAATCTTTTAATTTCATAACAACATTACTGAACAACAAACCATGGCATTCAGAGAACCACACTTACTGCACAAGAGGAAATATGAAGCAGATCCAATCAGGAGTGCCCGGCTTCTGGCTAGGGAACTGACGAGACCACAGATACCTCCAAACACCAGCATCACCAGACTCAGGGGCAGTAAGATGGCAATCACGCAGTGCATGACTGAATCAAGAAAATTATAGGCCTAGCTGTTAAGCCAAATAGAAATGACTTATAGAAACACCAACTGATGTGTCACCCATACTAATACACAGACTCTTAATAGTGACCAATTTAGTGGACAAGATATAAAAAGATATTTCATTATGGAACATGAAACAACAAGCAGTTAAGCAAACATTAAGCCAAACATGAACATTAGAAACACCAGCTAATATGCACATTTAGGACATTAATAGTGACTAATTCAGTTGTAAACATTGATTTATGTACATTAACAGATTTTTAATCAGACTTTATCTTTGTGAAAAAAAGCTTTAAAACACTCACTTTCCATCTGTCTTTCTGATTCTGAATATCCAGTGTCTTCTGAATTACTTTTTTCATCTGCAGTCAAAAAACACAAAAGCAATTGTCAATGTGCAATAATGAACGTCCTTAGGACAACCAATATTACTTCTAAATATAGCACATTTTAAAACGCTTTCAAACATTGTTTTGATATTTAGCTAAGCTAGTTTACACCGCGTAAAATATGACAGAATCAAGAAGTAACCATGGCAACATATGCTAAATCGCTGACTGAGCGGCAAGAACATCGACAAATTATGCATACTTACGTCAGCATAGAAAATACTTAATTGAAATTATTAAAGGCTAATTTTTGAACAAAACGAATAATATGGTATAAAAGTTTCTGACAAATGAAACTAGTGTGTACATTTCGCTTTTAGTTTGAAGTATTCAAAAATGAACAAGCCTGCACGTGTACGCCATTATCGTAAACAATAACGAATGTAAAATAAATTTGCTACACAACTATAGGCAGGATAATAGCCAAGACAACCCAACAATCTTTTTGTTTTTAAAAGATGTCTAATAGACGTCTACTTGGCAACAACAAGGCTAAAATTGGGCTGTCAGTAAAAAACTAATAGACTTGAGTAGCCGTCAAATATGCAAATGAATGACCACACATATAACTCTGTCTGTTTGACGACTAGTCTAGTTTCTTAGATGTCTATTAGAATTTCACTGACAGCCCAGCCTTTTAGCCAAGCTGTCTTCGTTTAGACGTCGACACGTCTATTAAACACAAAATTGTTTGCTGTGAATGGTTACGTGTTTATAGTATACTAGGTGGTTAATAATCATAAGGAAAGTTTTCTCATTAATTTTCACCCACATAAATTATTTTTTTTTCACCCAGTGAGCGCATTCGTTGCTCAAATTAACTGTAATAATAACGAGGAAAAGCCACCAAAAAGCACCATTAACAAAGAAAATGCTGTACTTTTTTCATCAGAGCTAATTAACAACTGCTTGCAAAGACGCGAGAATGAAAATGAGCGCCACCATACCTTCTGTTACTCCCCAAAGTCCCGAGTTGCTGCGCTCCGGGTTAGTGTGGTTCGTGCGCTGGTCTTCGATGATGTACCAATATTCAGTCCCAATGGCGAGCGCTAAACAGCTGAAACTGAGAACACCAGTCAGACCCCCGCATACCACCACGAAACCGAATGTGATTTTCATATCTGCCAGGATGCCCGCGATTCAGGGCAACCCCAAATCATTTGTGCAAGGCACTGGCTGTGCGACGCGATCAGATGCTGAACTGAAAGGTCCCAGGACGCAGGTCAGGACTCATGGAAAAGATCTCACGCGCTGCCCAACAACTGCATTGAGTGATGCAGATTGTCAATCAAAGACGCAAACAACATCTGATCACGATAGCTGCTATTACTAGAAAAGTTGTGCGGTGTTAGGAGAATAGGTGGGCTGGTTTAACATTTATCCCTCAACGGTGTGTGTGCGCGCTGTCCGTGTCCAACTATCACTGAGCGCAAGATAACGCATGACGGGTACAGACGAAACATGACGCACAGTGCATAACCAACACCCTTCATGACATATTTAACCATACACCTTTTTGTGATCAAAAATACGAATATGCAACAAAATCAATAAAGAATTGCAAGATAAAATATTATTATTTTAACTCAAATACTGTAATTGTTCAATGCTTATCAAATCAAGTGCTTAATCTCATTATACATTGTTTCAGAGGGGACTAAGTAGTGCAAATTTTCTCAACTGCAACATTAAGTACACATGCTTAAGTCTGAATGTCTAAGGCATTTCAGATATCACTGATCTACTGGGATTAAGCACAACAAATGGTCTAGAAAAAAAAATCCAATGAGAAAGAAAACGTGTTTATGCCAAATGTCATAGCAAATAATCCCTCATATGCACCCAGGTTTGCAGGAGCATACACAACATATCAAACCTTGAAACAGAAGATCAAACTTTAATTATTGTCAGACAAAACAGAAAGGAGAACTGTTTAATGCCACAGCTTACCTGTATACTGTTGCAAACAATTTCCATTTCTTTTATGAAAATAATGTGCGCATCTGATGGTTACATCTGACATAACACGCCCTGTAAAATGCAACTAAATAAAAAATTACAAAACTGAATAAACTTTTTTTTAGTCTGAGAGGTCTAATACTGCTTAGTCTTTTTTGTATATTTCAACAAATGACATATTCTATTTCAAATACACTCACCGGCCACTAAATTAGGTACACCAGTCCAACTGCTCGTTAATGCAAATTTATAATCAGCCAATAACATGGCAGCTATTTAATGCATTTAGGACTTAATGCAGTTCAAACTGAGCATCAAAATGGAAAAGAAAGGGGATTTAAGTGACTTTGAACATGGCATGGATGTTGGTGAAAGACAAGTTGGTCTGAGTATTTCAGAAACTGCTGATCTACTAAGATTTTTACACACAACTATTTCTAGGGTTTACAGAGAATAGTCATAAAAAGAGAAAATATCCAGTGAGCTGCATTTCTGTGGGGGTAAATGCCTTGTAGATGCCAGAAGCTAGAGGAGAATGTCCAGACTGGTTCGAGCTGATAGAAAGGCAACAATAACTTAAATGATCACTCGTTACAACCGAGATATGCAGATGAGCATCTCTGAATGCACAACTAGTTAAACCTGAGGCAGATGGGTTACAGCAGCAGAAAAACACACTCCTGTCAGCTAAAAACAGGAAACAGGCTACAATTCGCACAGGCTCACCAAAATTAGACAATAGAAAATTGGAAAAATGTTGGCTGGTCATATGAGCCTCGATTTCTACTGTGACATTCGGATGGTAGGGTCAGAATTTGGCATCAACAACATGAAAACATGGATCCATCCTGCCTTGTGTCAACGATTCAGGGAGGTGGTGGTGGGGTAATGGTGTGGGGATATTTTCGTGGCACACTGGGCCCATTGGTACCAACTGAGCTTTTTCCAGCAAGATAGCATGTCATGTAATAAAGCACAAATCACCTCAGACTCAAATGGCCCCCACAGTCACCACATCTCAATCCAATAGAGCCCCTCTGGGATGTGATAAAACGGGAGATTCGCATCATAAGTGTTCAGCCGACAAATCTGCATCAATTGCATAATGCTATCATGTTAATATGAACCAAAATCTCTCAGGAATATTTCCAGTACCTTCTTCAATGTATGCCATAAAGGATTCAGGCAGTTTCTGAAGGCAAAAGTGTGCTCCAACCCGGTACTAGTAAGGTATACCTAATAAAGTGGCCGGCGAGTGTATATTGCATATTCCATTGCAAATTCAAACAAATAGTACAATTTATTAAGCCCGAATGCTTTTAAAATTCTCATAAAGTCACAGGCCTTATAAAATGCATGCAAATAATAAACTTTTTCTCTTTAATGCTTACACTCTGCAGTGACGTTATTAATCTCATGTGTTCTGAACTGTGGCTCCTCTACTATAATCTGGAACTCAACATTTGCACATTGCGATATTGATGCTGAAACAATATATTGTACAGCTCTAGTTTGTTCCACTCAATTGGTCTCCAAAGACACCTGATTGTCAAACCAATAAACCTTTGGGGTGTTTTAGACAGGAGATGCACAATTGTAAAAACTGCAGTAATTTCCAAGAAAACTCCCCCATTACAAATACCTCACCAAATCCTGATTTTTGGACAGTTAGGACAAGGTTGCAGAAAGAAATTTACAGGGATCATGGGATACTATTTCTTTTTAATTTTTCTCATATTAAAATAAATACTATAAAAGCAGGAAGAAAGTGTAATAAAATCAACTTTCACAAGTGACAGAACACAGATTTAAACACTGATAACATTTAAAGAGAACAGAGTGTTCCTTGACATATAAATGAACGAAAAGAAAAGAGCGAGGTCAATAAAAGGACCACAGCCAAATGCTCTCAATGAACCTCTTCATTCCTCTCCCATCGCAGTCTGGATGATCTGGTTTCTCTTGAGCTTCACTGCGTCTTCAAATTTATCAATCGCGTGGCCACATGATTTTTTCTGAAAGGTTAAAAAACATGTCATTTCGTATATACTACTAGCATGTAAATGTCAAAATCAAATAACACAGTATAACAATGTTCAGCTTTGGAATGTGCAAAAACTTAGATTTCATTGCAAGTAAAGGTTTTTATTTGCCCCAAGGAAAATACAAACCAAATGCATTTTTAATACAGTAGATTTTCAGACTGAGTGACATTCAAAATAATGTCTAAATCTGTGTCACAGTTTAAATAACACATTAATTAGGGCTATGCAGTTTGGCCTAAAATCAAAATCTCGATTAATTGAACATTTTAACTCGATTGAGATTATTGAATGATTATTTTATTTATTCATTTTATTTTTGTGCCCTCATATCCCACTGACAAGTTTTATACAGTAAACATACACACATATAACAATTCATTCATTTTTGAATGAAGGGGGAATTACTTGATTTGAAAATAATCGAAGGAAAAACACTATCTACTATCTATGATTATTTATTGAATATCAACACAGAACAACTGAAATTAAAACAAATTGTTTTAAATATTTTTCATATTAAAAGTAGAAAATAAGCTGCATCTTGTCTAAAAATATCTCTTTTATATGAATTTTTTTTTAAATATAATTTTTATGTGCAATGGAAAATTGCTAAAATTATTCCTCCGCAGGACTCCACAATCACTCCAACAGGCTCGCTGCTCTTTTACAGAGTGCTCGCCCACACTTGTCACCACTATCAAGTCGACCAATTACAGAGCTTGCACTATGCATCGTTGCAATGTACAATACAGAAGTGTAAACAGAGCGGGGTCACCTGACTCTACATGTTTTAGGGAAATAAAAAATAATACTAATAATAAATTAATTAATTAATAAAAACGGTCTGGAAACCTTTGATTGATTATAGGTTCTGAATGTCGATTGCGATTTCTTTTCGAATAAATAACCCAGCCCTAACATTAATACACATTTTATCTGTAGTAAATTTTAAACACTGATTTTTATTTCAAATTACACATATCAAACCCATATCATGCACGATGACAAATTAATAATTTTTTTTTGTCTTGATGGGAGTTTTGGTTCCGTGCCACAGTAATCTTTGCTTTGGTTAGCTTGTTGTCTTTAAAATATTAAAATTACTGAACAATAGCATCAAGTGGACCAGACCAATATTTAAATTAAATAATGGCATGGGCTTTAGAACACTGACAATGTCAATGAGCTGAATTAATTTGAAATAAACTGAACCAATTTAACACTTAAACAATGAAATTATTGCATTGTGTAAAGCTGTTTATAGCGGAATTGAACTGGATTACAGTTACAGGTGAATTGAATAAACTAAATTTGTCCGTAGTGTAAGTGTGTATGGATGTTTCCCAGAGATGGGTTGCAGCTAAAAGGGCATCCGCTGTGTAAAACATATGACGGATAAGTTGGCGGTTCATTCCTTCGGGACTAAGCCAAAGGAAAATGAATAAATGAACTGGATTCATAACTGATGAACTTTGCAACTTCGGCTGTTACTGAAGTGAAACAACACTGACTTAAGCTGAATATTAACACTTATTATCTTTTGTACATCATAACTTGAGGTTTCAGAACTGATATTTCCCTGTTTATTAATATGTCGCTGGTTGATTTTAAGCTATATTGCATAAAGCACTGCACATAAAGCATTTCCTCAATATTTAGCTCATTTCTTTATTCTACATAGCACAGCATGTGTGTTTGTTTATTTATTTAGTGACCATGTACACAAATGTGACTAATTAAAGGGATTGTTGACCTAAAAATGAAAATGTATTCACTATTTACTCTCCCTTAAGTGTTTCCAAATCTTTATACTTTCCTTTATGTTGCTGAACAAAAAGATATTTGGAAGCTAAAACCTGTAACCATTGGCTACCATAGTATAAAAAAATAATATAAAAATATACTACTACCGAAACCAATGGTTACATGTTTCCATCATTTTTTAAAATATCTTTTCCCTTTAAAATCATAAAATATTAAATGTAAGACCAATTTATTTTTAACAAATAATCAAGATAAAACATTTTTGAATACCACATCAGCTTTTTTTAAAAGTATGCCATAAAATATTTCACATTCTCGTTTAACATGTTTACTTGTTTTTTTTTCACTATAAAATTAAAATCAAGTGTAGTAGTGCAACAGGATTATGTCTGTTTGATTTGTTTGTAAACCAACAATGCTGTTTAGTGTAAACCGTTATTTAAAACAGTCAAAATATGGTCAACCACTTGGTAAAGCAGGCAGTTAAGGTAAGAGTTCAGATTTTTGCTCAGGGTTAACCATGGCATGCTTCTGAGGTTTTCACCAGTGTCTGTAGACGTTTTGCTGCCAATTATTGAAAAAGTTCAGCAGAATTTGAATGAGAAACACGGGAGAAACCATTCTTACAGCATAAGAGTATTTTTTATTATAGTCAATATATTTTATTTTTTAAAAATTTGTGAAGGTATGCAAGTAAAATCTTATATTGTTGTGATTACCATCTTCTACATAGATATATACTCTAGATATCGCATAGGGACCCTGAGTATGCGTCAATAGCACCGCCACTGGTACAGTGCTCCCAGGACAAATGTCATTCAACCGCACTAGTCAAGACAGTGTTATTACGTGAAGATGCGGGACTTTAGTACTGTCTACGGGTGTAGTAACGAGCAAACAAAGAAAACAAAGCACAAAGGCAGAACATTTCATCGGTAATATTAAGTTTTTTTCTGTTTTTGTATGTTCTGAACTTTTGTACTAATCAGGTAACGTTATTGATGATAACAGTCACTTACTGCATTCACCATTATGCAAAGCAGCCTTATCTCACACTAAACACTCGGCTTATGCTAGTTTTGTTGAATAAAATCAGCAAACAATGCAAAAGAAATATGACAACAAGATGCTGCGCTGCCAGAAACTTGTATTATTGTCGCCTTACGTTAGTGAACGAATCGTTTGGGGGATTCATTCACAAACGAATCGCTCCCTCCGTCAGTATGAGAAGTGAAAGCAGGAGAGGAGCTGTGTTTCAGGACACAGATTAGATTCAATTTAACAGGGAGGGTGAATAGTACATTTCTGTACACACAAACACAAGCTTTTTGTCAGAAATGCCCATGCGGTTACTGATCCATCAATGTAGAAAAGTGATGTAAAATTATAATTTTCGTAATTAGAAAAAAAAAATAAATACAAACATCCAGGAGATCTCCCGATCATAGATATATGTGTATATGTGTATATCTCTGGCTTTGGATGGCCACAGTCCTCCACTGTACCTTGGTCCCGTATTCATTTCAAAGGAGTGCTACCCTGTAGCAAGATGGCGGTGCTATTGACGCATTCCGTCCAATAGACAACAATAGGCCAGGCGACATCTAATGTATATATCTATGCATCTTCTAGGCTAAAAAACAAAATGGAACCATTTTGAAAGATGTAAAACACAGTGACTGCAAGCCAGTTTTGAGGAAAACACAAAACAGCGGGTTTGTTGTAACAGGGTGTTACAAGTAAGCCACACATTGTTGGACAGCAACTAAACCAACAAAATACTTTGAAATTTTTAGTGTAATGTGGGGAACTTTTTATATTAAAACGTTTTTAATAGAAAAAATATATATTAGTGCTAATAATACGAATAAATGCATTGTATAATAATGGATAATAATACAAATAAATCTAAATCTGATTATTCAATAGATAGACAAATAAACAACCATGCTGTGCAATGTAGAATAAAAAATAAGCCAAGTACTGAGGAAATATAGCTAATATTTAAATTGATTGTGTGAAATCTGCCCATTTAAGCATGTGTTATAACTAACCCTCTGCCTGTTACAACTTGCCCGCAGGTGGGGTAAATAGTACAATTTTTACTCCTGGCACTTTTGGAAATACTGAACAGAAACCATAGGTCCGGTGATAATACTTTCAGTGCTCATTTATAGGAGAGGCTCGTGTGTTGTTGGTAAAAAAATATATGGTTTGTCTAACCCTATTACTTTTTTGTTTTGTTTTGCGTTTAATAGAAAAAAAGAAATTCATAAAGATTTAAAACAAGTAAATGATGCAATGCAAGTAATTGAGCAAACGATAACAGAATATTCATTTTTGGGTGAACTATCCCTTTAAAACGTTCTGCCAGTCATGTCATACTCACAATAATAAACTTCTGTCTCTCTTTCTGAAGTTTTAGAAATTCCTCCACAGTCAGACTGTCCACTGTCTTCTTCAGCAAGATAAAATCACAGCTGGGAGAATGCGCTTTATGCTCTTTCCTGACAGCACAACAAACCACACAGCACGTCAGGAACAAATGCGAAATAACAAGGGGACCCATGGCATTTATTAAATCAAATAAACCCGGAGTCTCATTGAATTAAAGAGACAAAGCTTCTTTCAGATGTATAATGCAATAGTGGGCAGTTTAAAAGACACGGACTCACTCAGGGTCATCCTCCGGTTCCCATCCTTCCAGCTCTTTCAGACAGAAGAAACACTGCGCTATATCTGGACTGTTCTCCGACGGGGTGTGAATAAATCCAGCTTTAGCCATCTAAGGAACAATGAAAACATATATAAAACACATTTCTTTGTTAACTTACGCCTACAGAACCTAGTGTCTGTCTTTACTCACGTTTTCTGGAGTGCAAACGCAGCCCTCTTCAAACGGCCAACCGACGAATGTTTGAAGTCTATTCTCGTAAAAGTACATTTTGGTCTGATCATCACTTGCAAGATCCATTTTGTGGGAGGTTGGTGTGGAAATTAAACAAAAGACAACCGAGATAAATCCGCAGGAGTCTCGCTTGCTTGTTGATTCTTCCGGTAAAAGTTTAAAATTGAAAGCGCGGGTTTTGATTGGCTGCAAAGCGCCACAACCACGCATGCGCAGTTCGACCACAGCATGTAGTTAGTTGTTGTCAGAGTCAGACGGTTATTGTTATTTCTTTTAGTTACTTGTCTTCTAACATAGACTGACTTCTGTAGAAAAAACACGAAAGCACTTGTTTCTCTCCTTATTTATCTCTTTCACACACTATGCACTATATAAAAAAAAATCCTGGTTACCTTATTAGTCCATTGAACTTATACAGGCTCTGTAGCTAGCTTGTAGCTAGAACCAGCCCTTCTCAAAAAAATGGACCTTTTTGCAGTTATGCAATTTTCTGTTTAATTATGAGATTTAAATACATTTTAAGCACCATTTTTAGCTGGATTAGCTTGTCAGATGGTCATCATAACCACACTTTTTGATGTACCAAAAATATTTCCTAAAACTAGATTTAAAACATCTAAAAAATACTTATTTTTAAAATACAAATTAATGACATCATTTGACATTAAAAAGAATCCGTTTTAAATTAAGAACAAGCCTATTGTCATTTATTAGGCAAATTATAAATAACAAACTTTTCTCAGTCTGAATTTGGCCAATTGGTTAATAATATAAAATAAAAAGAACAATAATATAGAGCTTCACAATTTTTCTAGCCTCTTGTAAAAAAAAGTACATTTGAAAATTCATGGATTATATTGTATTGAAATAAATTTAAATTTGATGGGTTTTTTGATGGATTATTTTTACAATTTAATAATACGTATAATAATTCCTTACAAATATATAGCGATTTTCTGGACACTCAAATCGCTTAACACATTGGAGGATATCTCCTCATCCACCACCAGTGTGCAGCATCTACCTGGATTACGCAACGACTGCCATATTGCACCAGACTCAGGGGCGGATTTAACCAATAAGAGAGGTAAGTGGCCGCTTAGGGCCCCAAGAAATATGGGGCCCCCAATAATTATCTGGAAGCATATTATACCTATAAACGATATATAACATTGTTTTCATGTCCATATTTTGTAAGGTGAGAGTTACAAATACAATTTTTATGTAATTAAATAGTAATTAATATAAAATCAAATATAATATTACTATGATCATATAAATTTATGTAATAGTAATAATAATATTACAAAATTATCCATCATGGAGCAGTCCAGGAGTAAAATCATATATAAAAAAATATTAGTTATTTTAGTTGTAAATTCATTTTTAAGAAAACTAATCTTTTAAAATGTAAATCATTCATTTCCTTGTCGGCTTAGTCCCTTTATCTGGGGTTGCCACAGCGGAATGAACCGCCAACTTATCCAGCAAGTTTTTACGCAGTGGATACCCATCCAGCTCTGGGAAATAAAATGTAAAGTTTGTATTAATTTAAAATGTCGAAAAGAATATTGAGTGATATTTAAAAAAAAAAAAAAACACAATAAATAAAAGGGTGCATTTCAGGACTTGGGCCCTATGGCTGGAATTGCTTATGGCCCCAAAATCAGTAAATCCGCCCCTGGCCAGACCGCACACCACACACCAGTGATGAAGCCAATTATGATATGATAGCATATTTATAATATGATGGCAATTTATGATGGCATAGCAGTTAGAATAGGATAAATGAGCTCATAAATGGGGCAAATTCTGGAGCTTTGTCAGTGAAGGGTGGGTCTTTTGAACCACCTGAACCCTCTTTGGCTATGGGCCTGTTATATTATGTTAACTTGACTTAAAACAGCTTGTGTAAAAATTAAGTTAGAACATGATTAACTTATTTTAATAAGTTACAATGAAGTAAAACCATCATATGCAGTCATGATTAACTGATCACATCAGTTTTTATAGTGTGGTATATGAAAGCTCTTTGGTGTATTGGCCATTTTTGTCGAGCTCATAAGAAGTGTTTTTGTAAGGCACATGAGACAGTTTTCATGTTTTTGGTAAATGTTTGCAACACCACATTATTAGATTGTGTTCAGTGTAAATAAGCTGAATATCACAGACACTAAACAAGCACTTTTGCAAATTTATATCTTATCATTTGCTCTAGGGTAATGTAGGCCTACTGTGTGTGCTTTTATTGCTTTAGTATAATCAGATTTTAAACACACATGATGTTAAACCTTAAGAAACATATTTTATCATAGTGATTATATCATTGCCACTTGACCATGAATTTTTTTTGTTCAGTTAGTGATCATTCTTTTTAACAGCATTGCAGATCATTTTTGAATGTGATTTTTAGAATATTCATTCATTCATTTATTTATTTTCTTGTCGGCTTAGTCCCATTATTAATCCGGGGAATAATTAATCACAGCAGAATGAACCGTCAACTTATCCAGCACGTTTTTACGCAGCAGATGCCCTTGCAGCCGCAACCCATCTCTGGGAAACATCCACACACACTCACACACTACGGACAATTTAGCCTACGCAATTCACTTGTACCGCATGTCTTCGGACTGTGGGGGAAACCAGAGCACCCGGAGGAAAACCACCCAAAAGCAGGGAGAACATGGAAATTCCACACAGAAACGCCAACTGAGCCTAGGGTCAAACCAGCGACCCAGTAACCTTCTTGCTGTGAGGCGACAGCACTACCTACTGCGCCACTGTGTCGCCAGGATATTTATTCTTTTATTAATTATTTTCGGCTTAGTCCCTTTATTAATCTGGGGTTGCCACAGTGGAATGAACCGCCAACTTATCCAGCATATGTTTTAAGCAGCGGATGCCCTTCCAGCTGCAATCCATCACTGGGAAACAAACTCATTCACACACATACACCACCGACAATTTAGCTTACCCAGTCTTTTGACTGTGGGGGAAACCGGAGCTCCTGGAGGAAACTCATGCAACAGGGGGAGAACATGCAAACTCCACACAGAAATGCCAACTCATCCACTCGGGGCTCAAACCGGCAACCTTCTTGCTGTGAGGCGACAATGTTAACCACTGAGGCATCGTGTCACCCTTGATGTCTTTTATTTTACAAAATTAGTTACCATAGAATGTCTCTGTAAGATAACTGCTCTGGTTGACCACAGTGCACATCCAGTGTAGAGAATTATTGGGTTTCATATTTTTATCTTATTGACTGCAGCCAGCAGCAGTTCGTTTATGAAACAAGTCTTCATGAATAGTATTGTGTTTTCTCGGTGGGAATACAACCAGCATATAGAGATCATAGCGACAGGCACCACTTGCCTAGGATTCAATGCTTAGTTACTGGAAGCCAATTCAATTCAGAGCAGAAACATGATGCAGCTTACAGCAAATGAGATTCATTCCTCCAGAATTAAGAGACAGGATTTTATTGAAATGACTGTAAAATCTTTCCAGATGGTTTTAAAGAGATGGTTCAACCAAAAATAAAAACTCTTCCTCTCTATTCACGTTCCAAACTTGTTTGATTTTTTTTATTCTGATAAAAATTTATTTTGAGCTAGAACCTGGTAACCATTGACTTCCATGGTATTTGTTTGTCCAACTACTGATGTCAATGGTTACAGGAATTCAGCTTTCTTAAAAAAATCTTAACAGAAGACGGAAACTAGGGTTTGAACCCTCTTGAGGGAGAGTAAATAGTGAGCATATTTTTATTTTTGTGTGAACTATCCCTTTAAGAAAGCAAAAAAATCACAATAGGGAATACAACATATGTAATTTTGCCACAATTATAGCATGTTATGGAATAGTGTGCGATAGTGAGCTGTTATGATAAAGGTTCAGGTCTTGTCGTGTTTGTCTTATTGGTATTCACAGGCTCCTGTTTTATAGAACTATAAACCAGAAAAAATAAATAATACATGCGTAATGCTGAATACTGATTCTAAATCAAATGCCGGTTGATGGGAAAACAGATGTCCAAACATAACACCTCAGTTTTACCAATGTATTTTCTCTCATCTGAAAATGTGGCAGTTCGTTCAGTGTCCACAAGATGTCAGTATTCCCAGAGGGAAGAGCTGTCCGCCGTCTCTCCGTCTCCTTTCAGATTCCCGCCCTGATCTCCCCGCAGGTATTTGCCGTTTTTGCCTCTAATCGCTATTCGTCCGTGCTCTAAGAACTCAAAGCTGAAATCCTCAGGCGTGTCTCCGTCTGAACACACCAAACCACTGCTGGACACATACCAGAATTTCCCGCCAGCACCTGCAGGAGCACACTAGAGGTCAGCTTCACGACATAAATGACAACATAAATAAATTAAACTGGGTAATTTCAGGTTTATAACATTACACAAATAACAAAAACTGGTTCATTTCAACTACATAGCATACATTACATAATAAAATGTCATATAGCTTTCATATATTTTATGAACATGGAAACAGAATGTTCCATCAGCACCAGCAGGAACACAGCAATGGTCAGCTCCACAACATAAATGGAGTAAATAAAAATAAATAGTCTAATAAAATGTTGGGTATATATAAGAGACCCCTTCAAGACTGTTGTTTTTTTTGGGTTTTTTTTGGGACCTTTTAAAAATAAGTCATACGCTCACCAAGAGCCCAACCAATTAATATTAATACACACACTGCAAATACTGCAATATTATAAGTGTCAATAGTCAACATTATAATAGTGTCATATTTTAAATATAGTGTTCCCATAATTTTCACAAGTTTGTTGGGAATTTTTTTTGTATTAAATTGTATTTAGCTATTGTGCCTAGTGAATGGTCTAAATCAGGGGTCACCAATCTCATTTCTGGAGGTCCGGAATTAGCTCCAACTTGCCTCAACACACCTGCCTGGGTGTTTCAAGTATACCTAGTAAGACCTTGATTAGCTTGTCCAGGTGTGTTTAATTAGAGCTAAAATCTGCAGGACACCAGACCTCCAGGAACAAGTTTGGTGATCCCTGGTCTAAATAAAAGAATAAATAAAAAAAAGAAAATACTTTTATTCAACAAGCATGCATTAAATTGTTCAGAAATGACAGTATAGACATATGTTGCAAAATAATTCATTCATTCATTCATTCATTTTCTTTTCGGCTTAGTCCCTTTATTAATCGGGGGCCGCCACAGCAAAATGAACTTATCCAGCATATGTTCTACACAGTGGATAACCTTTCAGCCGCAACCCAACACTTGGAAAATGTTGCAAATTACTTTTAGAAATATATATTTGTGATTCATAAAAAAAACCTGGAATAAGTATAATTTTACACAAAAATATTGAGCATCAAAACTGTCTTATTTAATGATAAGAGCCAATGTTAATAATGCAGGAATAATAACTCACAGTTACTGAGCTCATATACTACAATCATATATATATTTTGATAGAAAGCCAACAGTAACTCAAATAACCTCTCATTACAACCGAGGTATGCAGAAGAGCTTCTCTGAATGCTCAACACGTCTAACCTTGAGACGGATGGCTACAGAAGCAGAAGACCACACCAGGTGCTACTCCTGTCAGCTAAAACAGGAACCTGAGGCTACAATTCGCACAGGCTCACCAAAATTGGACAATAGAAGATTGGAAAAATGTTGCCTGGTCTGATGAGTCTCGATTTCTGCTGTGACATCCAGATAGTAGGGTCAGATCTTGGTGTCAACACCATGAAAGCATGGATCTATCCTGCCTTGTATCAACGGTTCAGGCAGGTGATTGTAGTAGTGGTGGTGTAATGGTGTGTGGGATATTTTCTTGGGACACTTTGGGCCCATTAGTACTAATTGAGCATCATGTCAACACCACAGCCCACCTGAATACTGTTGCTGAACAAGTCCATCCCTTTATGACTACAGTGTACCCATCATCTTCTGATGGCTACTTCCAACAGAATAAAGCACCATGGCATAAAGCACAAATCATCTCAGACTGGTTTCTTGAACATGACAATAAGTTCACTGTACTCAAATGGCCTCCACGGTCACCAGATCTCAATCCAATAGAGCACCTTTGGGATGTGGTGAAATGGGAGATTTGCATCATAGATGTGCAGCAGACAAATCTGCAGCAACTGCGTGATGCTATCATGTCAATATGGACCAAAATCTATAAGGGAATATTTTCAGTACCTTGTTCACTCTATGAAAAGATTTTGGGGTTCCAACCCGGTAAGGCGTACCTAATAAAGTGGCCGTAGAAATGTATGTATATATGTATATATTAAAAACATATTATTATTAGTTTCAAAAATAAAACTCAAATTAACATTTTAGGTGGCTCAGTGGTTAGCAATGTCACCTCACAGAAAGTAGGTTGCTGGTTTGTGTCCCGACATTTCTGTGTGGAGTTTGCATTTTCTCCCCAAGTTTGCATGGGTTTCCTCCGGGTGCTCCGGTTTCCCCCAAAGTCCAAAGACATGTAGTAGAGGTGAATTCGGTTGGCTAAATTGTCCGTAGTTTATGAGGGTTAATGAGTGTGTGTGTTGATGTTTCCCAGATATGGGTTGCAGCTGGCAACACCCATTAAAACAAGTGCTGGATAAGTTGGTGGTTCATTCCGCTGTGGTGACCCCAGATTAATAAAGGGACTAAGCTAAAAAGATTGAATGAATGAACGTATGAGTGTGAATGAGTGTATGGATGTTTCCCATTGCTGGGTTGCGACATCCGCTGCGTAAAATATATGCTTGAATAATGGGTGGTTCATTCCACAGTGGTGACCCCTGATAAATGAGAGACTAAGCCGAAGGAAAATGAACGAATGAAATTAACATTTTACTCAAAACAAATATAAAGACTTGCATGTTTATAAAATATGAAATGATGAATTCCTCTTACTTAATCATCCAATCTAACATTGGGTATATTTCATGCCTTTTCATTAAGCTTATAGTTATACGTAAACCCAGTCTTCCCTCTTATAAGAAAGCCAGTTTCCGTCAAAGTCAATTCCAGTTGGTTAATTAATTAAAAATGACATTTCTAGCGCTGATTCCAATTAACAGAACTCATTCCCAGAAGCACTTTTTTGCCTTTAAATCAATTTCCAGCCAATAAAAGCTCATTAATTGTTTTCCAGAAATCAGCTTGAGGACTCATTACAGCGCATTCAGAATATAAATAATTGAAAATGCATCTAGAGCGAACTCACCTTTAATATGGTATGCACCATCACTGAACTGCAGTGTGAAAATGTCATAAACCGAGCGACTGGCGTCCAGCGTGTTTGAGTTTTTGTGGTGGCAAACATAGCCGTTTTCTCCCCTCAGGATCAGAATGGGCCTGTTGATCAGCTTCAGAATCAGCTGCTCGTCCTCGCCTGGAGGGAAAAACAAAGCGGCATACTGTATTATTGTTTTTTTTAGACAATATTTGATTTTGTTTGAGGGTGGCTTCGACTATGTACTCACCCACAGAGTCGCTGACTGCAGAAAGCTGGCCGTTTTTCTTAGTACATACATATTTTCCATTGCTGGCCCGCAGTGCCACCCGTCGACCGAGCCACACGATGTCAAACATGGTGTTGGCACCGCTGCACACAATGGGAGATTGTACATTTAAGTGTTAATAAAAACATGCACACCCACAGAGAACTGGAGTAAATGAAACAGCTTTACAGTTTCGCTGCAGTTGTTTGACTGCTGTTATGATTGCATTTACTTAAAATTATATAACAGGATTGTTGCAACTTGCTCTCATGTGTTGGCTTATATACTGCACTGTAAAATAAAATGCTGGGTTTCACACAATCAATTTGTGTTGAGACAACATGAAGGAATTAAGTCAACTTGTTATTTATTTATTTTTTTACAAATTTAAGTGAATTGAACATAAAACAATTAAATTGTCCCCCCAAAAAAACTCACAAATTATGTTGTGTCAGCTTATTGTATATACATTTGAAGTCTAAATGATTAGCCCTTCTGTGATTTCTTTAAATAATATTTCCCCAATGATGATTAACAGAGCAAGGAATTCTTCTAGAGAAAGTCATATTTGTTTTATTTTGGCTAGAATAAAAGCAGTTTTAATTTTTTTTATAATTTAAGGTTAAATAATGGTTTACACACACAGCAATGTTGGTTTACAAAAAAAAAATAATCAAACAAACATAATCCTGTCAATCAGGGTATCTTCAGTCTATTTAATGTCTAAAAAAAGGAAAACTAAGAAAACAGCCATTTTTCGGATTTTCTGTTGCTCACAAAAAACAACAACAACAAAAAAAAACCCCAGAGATAAACGAATAAACAAATTTAAAATTTATAATACACATGTAGACGGTGCTGAAATGCCCTTTTTCCTCTGATTGGTCAACCATTATTACAAATTTGTCATCAAAATAAGGTCATAGTTTGCTGCCAATCGTCTTCTGCTGTGCACTTGATGCTGAGCAAAGATAGCCATTTCCGAGCTGCATCTGGTTTGCACGATTGCTTCCGAGCAAGGCCTATATAATAATAATAATAATAATAATAATAATAATAATAATAAAAAGGGACTAAGCCAAAAAGAAAATAAATGAATGAATAATAATAACAATAATAATATTAATAAAATAATAGAAATAATAATAATAATCTGCCTATAGTTTGCCGCCAAACTTTTTGCTTCTGTGCAGCTGATGCTGAACAAAGATAACACATTTTTGAGAAGCACCTGATTTACATGATTGTTTCAGAGCTACTGTAGGCCTTAAAGGCTAATAATAATAATAATTAATATTGTTTACTTTGTGTTTTTTTATTGTTTCGTTTTTTTAATCATAGTTTGCAGGACCAGAATAAGAACACTTTGGGCCCTGGGGCTATAACAAAAGCCATTTGTCTTTATTTTATTCCTTCCTATAATATATATATATATATATATATATATATATAGGACTATTATTTTGAGGGTGGTGTCAGAAGCTCAGATTTGGTTGTCCAATCAGAGGGAAAAGGGTGTTTTAGCACCATCTACATGTGTAAAATGAATTTTAAAGTTGTTTATTCGTTTATCTTGTTTTTTTTTCCGTTTTCTTTTTCTTTTTTTTGTGAGCAAAAGAAAAAACTGTTTTCTTAGCTTTCCTTTTTTGGTTTAAAAATGGATATGGGCTGGATGGAAGATACCCTCATTCCTGTTGCACTATCACAGTTGATTTTGGTTTTATAGTAAAAAAAAAAACAAAAAAAAAAAACATGTTAAATGAGAATCTGAAATATTATATAGCATATTTCAAAAAATAAAGATGATTTAGTATTCAAAAATGTTTTTTATTACCTTTTTAAATAAATTGGTCCTACACTTCATATTTTCAGATTCTTCATAGTATATGTACTAATTCCGTAATAAATTAGTAATTAATAGGTAAGTACATTTACCATAAACTGACAGATCTACCATTTGGTAGAGGTTGATATTTTAGAAATTATGGGATGTGTGTGAATTGCATCTTAGCGCCATTAGGAGTTAAGAAATGCAATCCAAATTTGTATTTTCTTGGTGGGGCAGTTAAAGGGTTATGATGAATACTAGTATCTTGAAAAATATCTGGTAAAATATTATTTAATGTCATCATGGCAAAAATAAAAGAAATCAGTTATTAAAACTATTATGTTTAGTAATATTCTTTTATTTAAACAGAAATTGGTGAAAAAAATATTTAGGCGGGCTAATAATTCAGAAGGGTTAACAATGCTGACTTTAACTTTAAGTAGTTTGAACAAACAGCAGGCGTAATTTTTTAAAGTGTGGAAGACCAAAAGTATCCAGAAATAAATCTCACGCTTCTGTGGCTGTTGACTGGATGCCTCCATGAGCGACGAGCGTCCAATAATTTCCTTCATTGGTTCTGAATTTGCACTTTCTCGTATCTTTATCAATTTCCATTTGAAACGTCTCCATGTCTGTCTCATCGTCCTGATTGGCTGAGACGCTCACACCTGTGGAAACACAAAACTGTTATTCATTAACCCTTAAAAAGACGTAACAAAACATGCATATACACTGAAAAAAGTGTAGCATGCAGAGCTGTTGCGGACAATTTATTTGTGTTGAATTTAAACAAATAAATTAAGTTTAATTTTCTTCAACTTAATTTGTTTGTTTAAATTGAACACAAAAAATTGTTTACAACCACTTAACGTAAAAAATTTGAGTAAATCCAAGGAATTATCTCTGAATAATTTTTTTCAGTGTATAGGTGTGAAATGCATTCATGCTTATTTATTTGTTTAGAAAACATTTATTATAAAGTTAAAAAAATCTAAACATTATTAGTTTGACATTAGAAGACTTTTTTTCTGTCAAATTTAAAGGACAGATTCAATTTAACAAAAGCCAAATAACTTGAATAGTTATTGAAAAGTTTTACAGCCTCAGTTTATAGATATTATTGCATTCAGACTAAAAGTTTGGGATTTTTTCTGTACATTTATCAAACAATCTCTTACAGTATGTTTACCAAGGTTGTATTCACAATTGAAATATTGTGGAATGTTGCTACGATTTACAAAAAAAAAAATGCTTGAATAAAAACTGTTTTTTTTTAAATAATACATTTTATAAGGTTATTTTTTCCTTTGACAGAAAACCAACATTTACAGCAGTCAGTATCACAATCTATTTAACATTTTTCTAATGATGCTAAAGAAAGGTGTGCTGCTGGTAATACTTTACAATAAGGTTTTATTAGTAAATGCTAATTTAATAACCTGGAAAAAACAATGAACAATACATTTATTACAGTATTTATAGATCTTTTATTAATGTTAGTTGATCAAAATAAAGTGGTTCATCATTAGTTCATGTTATCTCACAGTGCATTAAGTAATGTTAACAAGGATGACTTTGGATTTGTTGAATTTGGCTTAAATTTGGAAGTATTCTTCTTAGCTCATGTTAGTAAATATATAAACAGTAATTGACAAAACTACACAGCAAAGTCACCTGAGTAAAATTTACTTCAGAGAGTTCAGAGAGTATTTGGTCCCTCTTTAAATAAGGTCAAACAGGTTGGTAAAAAGTAGAGCTGCTGTTTGTAGAGTTGCTTAATGAGTATCTGCTGAGATTTTGAGAGATTCGATGTATTATATTTCAGCTGATTACATCTAAGAATGTGACTTTAGTCAGATGTAGTTTTATGTTTCTCTTCTGTTTCTTTTTATGTTTCTCTTCACCTGCTTTATTAATGGCAGGTGTTTATCATTAGCACTCAATCATCACCTAATTAATCCTTTCATTGTCTCATTAACTTGAGTAACTTTAACTCAATTTAGAGAGGGACCAAATACTATCTAAACTAGGGTTGTAGCGATATCATTAATTCACATTACGATACTATACCAGCTGAAGTATTGTAATACCAAGTAATATTGAAATACTGTAATTCATGACTCAAATCTATGTAATGAAGAAAAATGTTAGAAATACTATATTTCATGTTATAATAGGCCTGCTTTTGAATTGAATTCATAATTCCCTTATTATTGAGTAAATATTTGCACATCACTTCACCTATAATGCATTAGTTATTTTTGTAGATACTAACAAAAAATACATTTAAAAAAAGATAAATTATACTGAACGAAATTTGCTACAAAAAGAACAAATTGCGCTATATGAAGTGGTCAACAATTGTTTAAATGATTCCTGTTGCTCTTTTGAGCTTTTCATCAATTATTATTATTATTTTTTTTTTGGTCTTATCAGGTAGAAATCCAAAGTATTTTAAAATTACTGAGTTGTTCTTTTATGAGATTGTTGCCGTTGTTGTAGCTACTAAATCATTTTGACAGGAAGAGAAATTAACTGGTTCAGATGTGCATTCGAACTAGGACGTCAAAATGTGCAATAGGCTACTTTAAAGGACATGATTTCTACAAAGTTTTGCTACTTTAACTTGCTCCTCAGACTATTTAAATAAAATGGTCTATTGTTGCAGTATTTTAGTGACTTTTCCACATGCAACATGATGTATTGTATATAGACCGTTAATGACGATACTACCGTTTACAAACTACAGTGGCACCGCCAGTATGTTGGAGCCATGGTATCATGATACTACCATAGTACCGGTAAACCGTGCATTAATAATAAATGCAAAGGTTTAAAAACAGTGTCAGATTTTGAAGTCCAGCCTTAAAGGGATTTCACCCACAAATGAAAATTCTGACATCATTTACTCATTCTTTACTTGTTACAAACCAGTTTGAGGTTGCTGTTTTTTGTTGTTGTTGTTCTGTACACAAAAGAAGGTTTACAGGTTTCCAACATTCTTCAAAATATCTTCTTTTGTGCTCAACAGAACAAAAAAACAAACCAACAGGTTTAGAACAAGTAAAGGGTTAGACAGACACCTCCACTAGCCACTTTGGCTGGTTGGAAATCTGATACAAAGTGTAGTTTTCTTAAAAGCAGAGTTAGACAGTAAGCATGGCCCAATATTTGGCAAATGTGATCTTAGAATCGAGAAGCAGCACGACTGACAAAAATAACTGCTCGCGCGAGTAAAACAGCAAAAAAGAAGGTAAATACCGAACGAGAGGATGATCACTCGAATCACATGACCCAAGCGTGCGAGTGTTCCTCCTCTCGTTCGGTATTTACCTTCTTTTTTGCTGTTTTACTCGCGCGAACAGTCAGTCGTGCTGCTTCTTGATTCTAAGATCACATTTGCACGAATATTGGCATATTATAGTTTTGTTTTCTGTTAAAAAGCGTGCGCTCCCGTTTACTTGCGCAAAGCAACCGTGCCTAAGAAGCACAAGTGGTGCGTTTTAAAATAGACAGGACAAAGAGCGATGATCGTTCACCCACAGACAGTCCTGCTGCTTTCAAGAGCTCAAGATAAAAAAATACACATTATTTTGTAAGCAGCAGCGGTTACTGCTTTCATTTTGATTATTCTTTAAACAGATTATTAACAGGCCTATATTAATTGTGTGCCCGTGAACATCCTTACAATATCAAACACAGTTTGTTTTACCTGCTTTCTTTTGTTAACAGTTATTTTTGTTAATAGGGTTAAATTATATTTTTTACAATAACATTGCTTTAGCCTACTCCTTACGTTTATGTGTAGTTAACTGGTGATCTGAGACTTTTAGCCAGGACAGATTACTGTGCATATTTTAGATTTATGACAATAATTTTTTTAAATGTAATGTTTTTTAAAGAAAAGTTTTGTTGAATTAAAAAGTGCACCTTTAAAGCTGTATTTTCCTTGTTTCCTTGTCATTGTGGCTTAGAAATACTAATTTGGTGTGGTCAGAGATAAATTTGGTAAATCCTTAATTTTGAGCCCTAAAAAGTCGTGTAATAAAAAGTAATTGCATTGTGACACAACCCATTTGCTCATGCACACTGAGCAAGCTAATACACAATACACAAGCTAAATGAATGAGATGGCATGTGGACATAACACAACATCTAAATCAAGTCATTTTAGCATGCCAAAGTCAAAATTATGCATATAAAAATATTTTACCAACACGAAAAGTGTGGCTAGTTAAAATGGCAAAGGGCTAGTAATGTTGAAAATCTAATAGCCACAGTGGCTGGTGATTAATAAAGTTATATATATATATACTGTATATATATTTTTTTTATTTTTTTTATTATTATTATTTTTATTCCCAGGTTACAATATCTCTCATTTTGATTGCCAATCTTAAGCCAATTGTAACCATTTGTTTTGGTGTGATTTGGAATTTCCCCAACCAATCGCAGAGCCCAGGGGACCAGAGTGAGTGCTCCGACTTGGCCCTCCCTGTTCTTTGCTGTTAGAAATAATTAAGTTTTATAAATGTAACAATTCTTTTTCGGGCAGTAATGAGCAATTCAAATCAAAATAATAATTAGAATACTATGTTTTTTTTATTTAAATGTTCAGACATAAACTGACCTAGGATGTGAAAACATTTTACAGATCATAACCGCACTATGAGAATACAAATTATAAACTTGAAACTTTATTAAAACGGCTAAATCATCCTTAAATAAAATGAACAAAAAAGTCACTATTTTTACTCAGCCCCAATACAATCACAGCTCAATACATTCATGCGTTTCTACAGACAATAAAAATTCGGCTTAACCAAGATAGCATGTGTTTGTCCTGAACTTTCCCCCAGTTGGGAATCCTGAAAGCAGACAAAGCAGCAGCATGATTAACTTCACTGCCACGCACGACAGGCATCAACCTGACTCTGAGCCCTATTCTGGCGCAACGTCTACAGCCGGCCGTGTTTATTTAAGACTCACATCTATAGTTAATGGAGCCCAAACATGTCACTCGGCTGTCTATAAACATCCTTTATTTCAATGAGAGATCACTGGTGTTTTGAAAAGAGGAGGTTTGCTCAATCAGTCACGATGACAGATCCATTCCAAATCACTGTATTATTTGTAACATTAACATTTACACAACAAGACCACTGGATGAGGTCTGAGACGTTTTTCATATCCAAGCCATTCATCTTGATTAAGCCATTGGGTTGTGTAGCATATGTAGACTGCTTGTGTATTTTGCACTTTAAATAGATATTCATGCATACTTACTGCCAAACAATAAGCATCTTATTTCTGAAGTTGCACCTGCATTACCAATCAATGCGTTGGCACTAAACCACTTAGGATTGCATGTTTTCAAATGCACCGATAAATCCTTGACATAAAAAGCTTGACCTTGGATAGGTCAGTGGCCTTGCTGCACCCCCCGCTGGGTTTCTATGCCAATTAGTGTTTGGATTGTATCACGGCATTTGTTCTAACAAAGTTTAATAAAGAATTATATTTTATCACAATTATTTACTTTTATTTAGTTATTGTTTTAAAAGGGAAAAAAGACAACAAGACAAAGTATAGTCGATCCAAATTTAATTTTGTATTTGTGTAAACAAGTATTTGATTTGAGTTTTTAAATGCTATAGACCATTTTGAG